TTTTTTTGCTCACTTGTGACTCCGTTTTACTCATGACAGTGTGAGCAGCACAAACCCCATGGAATCTGATCTTTTCAATTCCGATTTGTGCCACTTCCATATGTGGCACTAAATCCGATTCAGGTCAGATGTTTTGCAGTGTGAGCAGTCATATCGGAATTCATGCGACTTTTACGTCACTCTAGATCAACATTTATCACGCTCATGGGAGTCACTTCTAAGATTTTACACACCCAAAGTTATCAAGACAGTTACGAAAGGTAGAGTGGAAGCACAGTGATGTGCCAGAACTCATAAGTACTACAGTGACAACTCTATATACAAGCACAACATAAGGGCTCGTATCATAAAAGTTTCAAAACTCTGCTCTCTTCGGTCACATCTTTGTCTTTATATTTCATATTGCCTGCGCATACTTCCGTTGGCCTCTTTGGCAGATCACACTATAAATAAACGCATAATCGGTTTACTTTATGTCCTCAGTTCAGAACCATGATCGATTCACACTGGAATCGGAAAAAATCGGATCGGAGCAAAAATTGGAATTGAGCACTAAGGCTCGCAGTGTGAACGTAGCCTTTGTCAAATTCCTGATCCTTTTCTATACCCACTGTATATATATTGTCACAGGGTGAAGAATCACACGACAAGGATGGCTCAATAAATGCCCCAGAGGGTGGATTTATTTACTAGAGGGGGTGATAAAGAGAAAGGTCCAGGTGGGTGCTCCGGTGCCGTGAGTGCTCTCTTCCTTCTTCCCAGTGCAGTGGGTCCGTGCTGTGCTCCTGTGGGGCTGGTCAGTCACACGCTGCTGTCTGTGGGAGAAATGAGAGGGCGCGTTAATGCTCAGTCTCATGGAGAGTGTCTCAAAGGTGGCAGGGCTTGCGTGGCTTATGTAGCCGCCGCCTGATGAGCTGCAGCTGTGACCGATCAGCCTGTGACGAGGACGGGCAGGTGTTCCTCGCTTGTTTCCAGGGCGACGCTGATGAAGCTTCGGGATGCTCGTCACAATATATATATATATATATATATATATGTGTGTGTGTGTGTGTGTGTGTGTGTATATATATATATATATATATGCTTTCTACTAAAACAATGTGGGGGAAAAAAATCACTTTCCCCCCCATATTCCCTTTAAAATTATTTAGGTGGGTCTTGGGATAGATTATACTTGTCTAAGTGTGTCCTAGAATGAAAACGTTTGGGAACCCCTACTGTAATGGCTGTTACTCACAGCTGTCAAGTAGATGAAATCACTTCATAGATAGTGGTTTGTTGGACGAACTCCATCATGTGGTGGAATAACCCGCTCAGTCACAGATATGACAATAACATGTTTGAGGTGTAATCTCGTTTGCAACTCTCTTCACGATCCTATAGCTAAAACAACAGCACATGGCTTTGGTTATGGGTTTACAAGAACTGATACAATGTACGCCTAGAATTCACCTGCATGTGTACCTGTAAGTTGCTTTAGAAAGCATCTGCCAAATGTGAATGTAAAAGATAATAAAAAACTTAAATAAATACATAAAATACTTCTATAACAGCTGATAATTTCGCCACATTCTTCACAGACAAAACCAGAACAAAAATAAAAAAAAAAATAAAAAATTCTCTCTCTTTATTTATTCCTTCTCTTTCTAGCTTGTACTTATTTGAACAATGTCTAAGAACTTGGTATTACAACCAATTCCTATGTATGTTTGCCTCTTTAAGAAGAATCGCTTTATGTATCCCCCAATTGTAAGTCGCTTTGGATAAAAGCGTCTGCTAAATGACTAAATGTAAATGTAAAATGTATAAATAAATAAATAACAATAAAAACCTTTTGTTGATTCTAAGGTATGCCAAATCAAAAACCTTTCTTCTGTTCATATTGTCACCGTTCTGTTATGTTTTGTTTGCCATTTTCACCATGGTCACTGATTTGATTTTGTCATTCTGATCATTATTAATGACCTTGTTTGATCTGTGTATAAGTGCCTGTGTTTTCAGTTCTCATTTGTCTTTTCTCGTCTGTTATGTTTGTGTTTGCATGCATTCCTTTGTTTGGATTGACCTGTGGATATTATTTAAGTCTGTTCTGAATCGGATTCTTCCTCGTCATGCGTCTTCCTGAAACCCTTTGTGACAGACATTGATTTGAAAAATATAAAACAAGTTGTTTCGAAGACTTAAAATATATAATTAAAATAATATTTACTATGGTGTTTCTTGTTTTTAGAATTTACCATCAAGCCGTGTTGAAGGTCAAGACTCTAGATCATCTCTGGATGAACAGAAGCATCAGGATATCACAACAAACAAATCAGACTCACAGCCAGAGGAGGTACTGACTAAAGAGTAGAGCTTGAGCCTTAGACTTTCTGAGGGACATTGTCACCAGAATAAACACATTATCATTCACATCATTTTAGAGTTTAGACCGTATAACTCTCCAGGTCATTCCCTCCCTCAATACTTTTACTCCTGATGATGTGCTACAGTGTCTGATTTAAATGAATTCGATAGGAGTCAAAGGACTTTGATATTTCTTTATTATTGTAGCCAGCTGTCCAATTAAAAATTATGAAATTAAATGAATGTATAATGGAAACAACATAAAATATGAAAACATAACATTTTTGTCATGGTTTAGTTTATTGTCTGCATTTGCTATTCTTCATCATAAAATATTTTTTAAACATAACTCGGCTTTGAGTGAGCATAGTTTCTTTTTCATATAGAAATATGACTCTGCATTCATTATAATTCTTCCTATAACAGGACATTTGTAAAAATGGTGATATAAACACAACCCAATCACAACCCTCAGCACCACTGGATATTGCCAACTTGAAAATCAAAGTGGACTGGACAGAACCATTTCCAGATAAATGGAGTAAAAAATTACAGATTGCCATTCAGAGATGGTTGTCCAAACTGGAAGGAGCACCATCTGTCCACAGCATTAAACTCATGGATGATCAATCATTGGCACAGGTGCAGATTACACCATCAACGGGTGAGATGATTTATGATAATTCACTTGAATGCCCTTTTCAGTTTAAATCTTGTAGATGATAGTATCTGAAATAGCTAAAATACATTAAGTATTTTTTTTTTTTAGTATTGTTATATTAAACAAAGGCAAATACCAGTGTTGGTGGTAACACATTACTAGAAACGCATATTACAGATGACATTTCAAGTCAAGTAATAAGTGAAATATTAAGTCAAATGTTCATTTTAAAATGACAACTAACGCTAACTGTTAAGGCCAGTTCAAACCAAAAATGAGAACTTTATGAAAAAATAACCATTTATGGCGAAAATACTACATTTTTGTGTCAATCCATGTTCATTTTGACCACAAATATGTGCGGTCATACAGTGCTTGCTGTGCAACAACAATAGTCTCAGAATGGAGACGATCACTGCACTGCTGCACCACAATCATGCAATGCATCTGCCCCACTGCATATGTGTGTGTGTGTGTGTGTGCAGTGTGAATGCTCTAATCTGTTAACCTGGAAAAAAAATAAATACTGCAGACAGATCATGTGAAACAGGCATCGCTCACAGCTCTGTCAGAGCGACACTCTCTATTGCTTTTCTGCTGTTCACTATATTCAAGTGAAAACACTAAACAAAATGATTTCTTGCTGTTGAATGGTTTCTTCTGATTGATTTTACTTAGTGGGCTTTTATATTTTAAATATATTTTTCTCTGTAGCTCTAGAAACTTTAGAAAATCATGGGACTGTATCTTTGAATTTTAAACATGAAAATAAGGATGCGACTGCGCAGATTTTTCTGGATGAAGCACATTCTGTGACTGTATCACAAAACACCTCCACGTCGGACAAGAACAGAATTCCATCATCAAAGGTATCAAGTTTACTTTTTTAAGGTTTTGATTGCTTAGAGAACCAGGGGTGGATTTAGAAAATGATTTAAAGACTCCCTGCAGTCACTAATTTTATCCCTTAAAACTCATCATGTCTGTGATTGGCTACATTGCAAAAACACATTGTAAACAGAAACCTTTGAGCAGGTATGAAAAGCCCCGCCCTGCACGTTGACAAGACTAGTTATATGTTTGTGATGTAGGAAACGTGGGTGGTTTCAATCCATGTTTTTGATTTTGGTGCACCACAGTTTTAAGGAAAAAATACTCAGCAATGATACATTTGATAAATTTGCACATGGTTTGACTTGTGCAAATTTTTAAGCATATTATGCTAAAATGTTTTTAAGCATATTAAAAACCCCAGATAGACATAAACAACATTAAATACTCGATTTTTACCATAGGGTGTCTTTAAAGGGTGGGAAGGGGGTGGCTTGAGGACAGAGGCTACACACTGCAGCTGAATTTGGTTATCAATCACCACAGTTCAGAAACTTATAGAAATGACAACTGAATTAGATTTTATTAAATTAAAATCCTATGCAGTGTGTACTGAACCAAAGTTAACAACGAGTTGTTAATGCAGTGTGAATCAAAGATGTGTCTCAATTTTCTGTCATCTTTGCAAGAATGCAATATGAAGATTGCACAAAGTAAGATTTATCTTTAGCAACAGTGTGAAAGTGAATAGCGGTATTAAACATATCAATCAGTGCAATATGTGTCACATGACTAAATATGCGTTATCGTTTTTAAATATCGCAGTTTTCATAATCTACACTACAATATGAAATTTTGTACTTGGGAGTGTCTTCAAAACGCTCCGTTTTCACTGTCTCAGTGTGGACGAAAGGCCAACTTGTAAAGAAAAAAATGTGCTTTTAGTGTAGACGTAGCCTAGATCAGTGCTGGGCAACTGGCCCTCAAGTAGTGATGGATCATTAATGAACGATTTGTTCATTGTGCCTATCATGTGACATGAATGAAAGTCTTGGGAGGTAAACTACTCATTTATGTCCCTCATAAATTATCCTTGACTGCATTATAATGATTTCTTAATTTGGAATATGATCGAGATTACGTAGATGGATGTGTTTGGGGAATTAGGCTGTTGAAAATATAACATTTAACAACACTCAAATGAATGAAATGACTTGAATAAAGAATAATAAATAATAAAATAAAGTTCACTTTGCTAAACGAGATTGAATGAGAGAGTCAGTAAGATGATAATTCAGATGAATTATGACTTAAATGTGACTAATTCACATAATGCATAAAATTAAAGGAAATAATTAGGATTATTACTACTATTATAGTTTCTATGTTCAATATCTTTTTATTGCTTTTATTTTATTTTATTTTATTAATATTATATAAGACAACTTATAGAACTTACATTTATATTTTAAACACTGAGATTTACACAATTACTGTAAAAGTCACTGTTGGTATCAAATCCTTAAAATCCCATGATATGTTTTTAGGCGCCTTTTAAAACACTCAAGGACACCGTACATCATAAAAGAAAAGCAATAAAATACAAAACATCATAACATATTTTAGATGGCAAAAAGGTCTATATCCTATGTTCCCTTTATTTATTTTCTTACTGAGCAAAACTTTTCTCTGTTAGACAGACATTTTGGCGACTTGAACAAAAACATTCTTTATACTAGACCTGTACAGCGCACACACACACAAAAAGTGTGTAACTTTTAACTTTAATGTGCTATTTATTTTGATTTGACCCTTGATGTAACTAAATGGTTACCAAGAAATTCTATAAAAATTAATAATAAAAAATCAGAACAGTTCAATTCTTTGTAATAATATAATACTATATTATATAATGTATTATAATATAATATAAAATAATATAATATAATAATAACATAATATAATATAATATAATATAATATGAAAGAAATAAAGCAGATATTGCTCATGAATTCCCTTTTTGAGGTCAATTATTTATTAGTAATATAATATAATATAATAACAAACTGAAGCATTTAAACTGATAGAATAGAATAGAATAGAATAGAATAGAATAGAATAGAACAGAAAACAAACTGAAGCATTTAAACTGATAGAATAGAATCGGGATTACTAGAAACTTTAAGGTAAATGTGTTGAAGCAGGTTGGAGCTAAACTTTGCTGAAAATTGTCCCTCCAGGAGAAGGAGTGGACACAAAACGCAGAAAAACAATGAAAACAAAAACACACAATATAAAGTATAAAATGTTTAATTTATTTATTAATATTTTGTTATTTACATAAAATTCTCGTTTTTCGCTTTTTGGAAAAAAAACGAAAAAGGAGCCGTTTTCAAACTTTTCTACTTTCAATATTAAATCAAAAAACGAATGATCGAATGATACACGGATTGTTATGGCACAGTAGTACATCATATTTATAATTTTTTTTAGAAGAGGCATCCAAACCCAGGAAACTTTTTTCATGGCACATCACGTCATGCATACTTGCCTGACAACCATGAAGGAAATGAAGTGCTCACACTGCTGCAGAGGGCTTTTGATCAGAAACTGATCTTTACTGTTGGGACCTCTACAACCTCCGGTTTAGAGAATGCTGTCACCTGGAATGATATTCATCATAAGACCAATACACACGGCGGGCCTCTAAAGTATGAGTTCATTTAACGTCTGTGTTCAATTGTCCGTCATGTCCTGCAAAATCAGTAATCAAACATTACGTGTTTATTTGGCTTTCATGTAAATAAAATAGTGTATCTGAATATGTATATCTATTATTTTTCTGTCCACAGGTATGGCTATCCAGACCCTGACTACCTGAAGAGAGTAAAGGATGAGTTGAAGGCCAAAGGCATTGAATGAAGATTTTATTGATGTTCCCAAATGCACATCTAAGCCAAATGTTTACAAATAAGCCATTGATTGATTATGATATTGTAATACACTTATTTTATATATATAGTGACTTTCAGAAGTATTCAGACCCTTGACCAGTTTACTGAAAAACAAACTATTGAACTCTTGTTCGGTGTGAAGCAAATCTTAAATCTCAAAATTAATTATTTGAAAGCAGGATTGGTTTTAACAAAATAAATAAAAAACTAAAACATACAATCTTCCAAAAAATGCAACCCCTCTGTTCTGGAGATCCATGTTTACACAGCTGAAATTACAAATCATTTTTTTCTTTGGTGTATTCATACTATACACCTGCATACATGAAGAACACACTTTATCACGGCCACTAATGTGGTTAGCTAATGCTCACAAATGGAACATTGTAAAGTGTTACCAAAACATTTTCAGTGGGTCAAAATACTTTTGGCTGGCACCATATACAGTTGTGGTCACATGTAATGATCTTTAAAAAAGCATCATATGACCTCTTTAAATGCTGTGGGAAATGTACCAGTCTGAAGAGAGGTGTTGATAATGTGAGTAACCGCAGGCATGACTTAAGAAGAAATGGCCTAAAGTATGTGAGTGGGGATAGGATTGGAAAGGATAAGTTTGGAAATGTCCATCTCCGAGACTGGAGAGAGTTTCTGGTGTGGAGAATTGGTCATTGATGTTTCTTGTTTTATTTATTAAGAATATTGCAAAGTCATCAGCTGTAAGAGTTGATGAAGGAGGTGGGGGAGGAGGACAGAGAAGAGAAGAGAAAGTTTTGTCAAGTGTGCGAGAGTCAAAACAGTTGTTAATTTTGTTGTGGTAGTATGTTGTTTTAGCAGTGGAGACATTTGCAGAGAAGGAAGAGAGGAGTGACTGATACACACTAAGGTCGGTTGAGTTTTTTTATTTGCGCCATTTCCAGCCAGGGGGCAGAGGGGGTAGTACGTGCTGGTCTGGATGAAAGGGGGCAAAAGTTGTCTAAGCAAGATGATAGAGTGGAGCAGAGAGTGTCAGTAGCACTGTTTGTGTCCAGTGCTGAAAGCTGAGAGGGTGAAGGAAGTGAGGATGAAACCATAGAGGATAGGCGAGAGGGAGAGAGTGAGTGTAGGTTATGCCGAAAGGTGACCTGCGGAGGAATGTGTGCTATGTCAAGAGTTAGTGTGAGGTTAGAAGTGATGAGGAAGTGGTCTGAGGTGTGTAATGGAGTAACTAAATTGTTGTCAGTGGAGCAATAGCGTGTGTAGATGGGGTCCAGTTGGTTACCTGATTTGTGAGTAGCTGTAGTAGACATGCGCTTGAGGTCAAATGAGGCGAGCAAAGTGTTGAAGTCAGCAGCCTGGGGTTTTTCTAGGTGGATGTTGAAGTCACCGAGCAGTACCAGAGGAGTACCGTCCTCAGGAAAGTTTGATAGTAACACATCCAACTCCTCCAAGAAGTTACCCAGTTGACCTGGGGGAAGATAAACAACTACAAAGTGGATTTTAACAGGGTGGATAATAGTAATTGCATGTGATTCAAATGAACTGTTGCCTGTTGCCTGTAATAGAAGATCAAATTTCCATTCATTTGAGATAAATAGACCAGTACCTCCACCCCTCCCCATTCCCCATTGCGTGTGGGAAAAAGTGAAATTAATGGATACGGCTGCAGGAGTGGCAGTGTCCTCGGGTTTGATCCAAGTCTCAGTTAGGGCCATGAGGTTGAGACTGGAATGAGTAGCAATAGAAGGAATAAATTCTGCTTAGTTTATAGCAGACTGGCAGTTCCAGAGACCAAATGAAGTAGTAGAGGACATAGGGACAGGCCGTAGATTATTAGGATATTCTCTTAGATGCTCTAGATGCTCCCTATTTGAGCTACTGTTATTAAACACTTTCATTTACAAACAGTGGTGGAAAGAGTACTGAGAGTACTGAACAAGTAAAAGTACCATTACATTCCAAAAAAAGTAGTGTGAGTAGAGTAAAAAGTACTTGTCCAAAAAACTAATTGAGTACGGGTAAAAGAGTAGCTTATTTAAAAGTACTCGTGAGTAGTGAATACTGAGCTGTGGATTCTACCCCTCGTAATAAACACTCTAGACTGCAATTTAAAAATGTAGAAAACATTATACATACTGTAATTCACATTT